TAACGTCACCCCTGGTTTTCGCTTCACCCCCTCGCTCCTCATTCGAAAAGTCGACGAACAATACTAAAAGAATGAAGATTCAGGGACTTGACCAAATCTGCAATAATTTCTGCAAGAAATGTTGATGTCGAAGAAATAAACGAATAAGTTGTCGAACTGTTGGACGTCAAGACCGAAAAACTCTACACCAGTATAGATAGTGTCAAGAACTGTGATAATAGTGATCTAAATAATGCTATTCTTCCAAAATATTTAAATTCGCTTAATCCGCCGAATTCCCGCTCCATGAATTACGATTGAAAACGAATTCTATTGTATGCTTATTAGAAATCTAAGCATCAGTGCAGGCCTTTGCAATGGTACAAGGCCTTTAGTTCTGGAACTTGGGGATAATCTGTTACGCTGTGAGATATTGACTGTAGATAAACAGGGAGAAATAGTGTTCATAAATCGAATAACACTCTACTGCGAAAACGTCTACCCCTTTACGTTCAAACAAAGACAATTTTAAAATAAAATTAGCCTTTGCAATGAATGACGATTAACAAATCTCAAGGACAAACATTTGATAGGATAGTAATTGATCTCCAGAAAGGATGTATTAGTCACGGACAACTTTATGTGGCGCTTTTCAGAGTTCGTTCGTGGGACTCATTGAAAGTTTATTCAGGGAAACAAAGAGGCAATAGTGTTGTCAAAAACCATGTTTTTAAAGAACTGTTTTTTTGATAATTTAATTTTGAAATTTCGCAGTCATAGGTGATTTCAGAAGATCTTTACAACTTATTTACAAGATATTTGAAGATCACAAGACAAAAACCTGAACACGATAAACATAAATGATTGAAAATAACGAAGAACGACATGAAGACTTAGCACTCTTTAAACTTTGGATTCTTACGAGTTCCATAAAATAGAATAAGTTGCACTGGACATATGCACACCGTATATTCAAAAAATAAGATCGATTTAAAGTCATTACGATATACCGCAAAAGTAATAATTCGCCAACTACTTTGATCACATTTAAAATTTATGTCTACCACGTAGGTACAAACAAAAAATGTAAGTTGAATAATTGAGCAATTGAATTTAAAATCTTTTAAAAAAAAATTTTTTTCGATTGTTTGCAGTAAAATGTTGATCGAGTAGACTTCAATAACTGGCCTAATAAAAAAAAAAGGAACTTCATGAAAGTGTAAAAAAAAAATTAAGACTCGATATCTCGTATTATACCACAGCACATAAATAGTTACTAACTCGGTTTATAATAACACCTTGATTATGGTTATGATTATTCTGTTTTAAATAAACCACTTCGAAAAATGTATACCTACACCTACGAGTTCCATAAAACAAAATGAGATAAGTAGACATACGCACACCGTACATTCAAGAAATGTGATCGATTTAAATTCATTATGATATACCATACAAAAATAATTAGTCACCAACTCCATCCAGCGCATTTGAAATTTCTTCACTAGAATAACATCTATACAACTTATCTCACTGTTACATTTAATGTATAATGTACATTTAAATCAAAAATTATCCTGTTTTTTGTACAACAACTAATAAATATTTTCCATTTTATAATTATTTTGATGGACTTGATTTAAAAAAAAAGCGCGCGAAGCGCGCTCATGACCTAGTTACAATAAAATCTAGGTTGAAATTTTTATCGTCATACCTACATTTTAAGTTAACAGACCCTAACGGATACATCTTAAAACCCCCATATGTTTCAAGTACAATATTACCTAACTTGTTTCAATTCGCCTCTTTTCTTAAACTTATTGAAAATTTACTCTGAAATGGCATTAACTTCTGATCCTGTATCTACTTTAAAATCTACTATAAAATCAAATACTACTACTTCCTCAACCCATTTAGATTTTACTTTTTTCTTACATACTGCATTTATATTTTCAATGCTGCGCAACTCACTAACACTTATCATTGCCACAAAGTACTCATCATCTTCACTAGAATTCTGTTCACGCCTGCTGCCTACTTGTAACTCCCAAATATAAGACTTACTACACATTTTTTTCAAAATGTCCATAAAGCTTACATTTATTGCATCTTCGACCAAATGCTGGACATTTTCTTCTACCATGTCGACTGCCACATCTTTGCCAAACAACTTGATCTGTTTCTTCATTTTTTGGGTCTCTGTTTCTATTAAAATAGCCTGATGCCTCATTTCCTCTATTTGGGAGTCTGCTATGTTGTACTTTTTTCTGAACTGCATCAATTTTTACTTCACGACCATCTAGAACTTGTTTCAACTGAGCTTTTGCAATTTCATTTGTTTTACAAATTTGAGATGCCTTTTTCAAGTCCACATCATCAAGATACAAAAGCTTTTCTTGAAGTTCTTTACTTCGAATGCCAAGGGCAATGCGATCTCTAATCATAGAGTCCATCGAGACCCCAAAATCACAAGTTTGTGCCAACTTCTTTAAATCAGTTATAAAATGATCAATGGGGCTTGAGATCGGACATTCTATATTGGACGTACAGCATGATGGTCAAGCCCAGCTTGACTTACGCCCCCTTGATGTGGTGGCCAAAGACACAGCAACAGTAGTAATGGACACCCTCCTAGCTCTTCCAACTCTGCTCATTGTGATACAGGGGGAGACAAGGATAGAAGCGTGCAGACTGAAACCGACAACACCCTACAATTAAAAGACGGGACACATGGCAATCGCAGAACTAGTGGGGAGAGATATTCTCAATATGAAGACGGATTACATACCAAGGCGATACCGCTACAACAGACCGTTTGACGTCAGCTTCCTAAGCAGAACTGAATGGGACCAAGGCTTACCGGAGACCAAAAAGCAGGACCGGAACTGGTACACGGACGGGTCGAAGACTGCGGCTGGTACCGAGGTGCAATAAAACAACGAAGAATGAATCTCTTCCTTCTTCATTTATTTTACTTGAAGCCAGCTTTGGTGTAGAGTGTGACACTTGTCTAATAATTGCTGTTTAGGAAAGAAACCTTTTTTATTCAAATTTTATTTGGCGATATGTTTCCAAATCCCTGTCTTCATTGTACTTTAGAAAAGTTGGTGAGGTTTTTTTTTTTTAATTAATATTGCCTCTAAAATATTTTTTCATAGGGATTCTAGGAAATCCAGTTGTTGGCTTATTCTGTTCAGAAACCAGTGGCTCCCATCATAGAGATACTCACCAAATTTTATGATTTATTCATTTAACCTGAGCTAGGGTATCAATTTGGGTTAGTTGTACATCATAGCCCAAACAACACCTCCACACCTGTCAAAAGAAGCTGTTGAAACTTATTGTTATGGCTTGATCGCATCTATACTAAACCTAACCGAGGTACCAAAAAAATAAACAGAAACAAATCAAAAGCAGCAATGCAGCAAAACACGGTAACCATTATAAAGTTTGGTGACAAATTAATGAGAAGACTACCAGCCTGCAGAAAAGTCTCGAACTGCCATATCTATCTATCTATGGTTCATCGATACCTACCAGACAATCGAGACTGGCTAGACAAAGTGTGATCTACCTCTACCAACCGACTTGGAATAGGAAAGACAAAATACGATGGGCAGTACTAAAGCTTCTCATCCTGCAAATCTCCAGGCTCTAGGGGGGTCTGGACCAGACTTCAGGCATTTTATTTTGAATTAAGTTTGAGTTTGTATCTTTTTACTCCGGACAGTGGCGTAGTGACGATGCCCCGGGCCCGTGTTCAAAAATTTTACCGGGCCCCTATACTCCTACGAGATGAAATAATTGAAAAATCAAAGAGATATAATTTTTTTTTTTCAAATATACAGGGTGAACCTAAAGTATGGGTTCACTATAAAATAAATGAACGCGTTTCGGAAAAACCGCTCGGACACGTAAATTTTGTTTTTTTGCTTGAAATTTTTTCACACCATTTTTTTATATTGGTTGTTCCAAAAACAGCTGTACCATTATCAACTTTATTTTTTTAAATCGTACCTTCTGTATGTCATGACATTTCCGGATTCTGGGGAAAATTCTAAACATATGCATATTATACCAGAAATACCCTTAGTGCCGATTTCTCAATAGCAAGTCACCCCCGGGTTAGCCGGGTCACCCAGGGTAAATATTGCAACTTTACACCCTTACCCTGGAGTTAAAACCAATCCGGAGGTGACTCGCTATTGAGAAACCGGCCCCTATGTTGAAACCTATAACTCACCTAATTTAGAGGGCATAGCACAACAAACCACATCGCAGGGATTGCAGGATCTTGAGTTAGCATACCTGACAATCCTGGCATACTATGGAGTGATTCGGCTGTACTAATGAATTTTGAAGATATACGATACGCGAAAACCGGTGAAATCGAAAAGTTTTCATAAAAGAATAAAATAAATCATTATAAGTCTATATAAGAATGGAAGAAATGAAGACTTTACCTACGTAGATATAGATATATTATTTTTTCTACAAACGTCACTAAAAGTGCCATTTTTAACGCATGCTGTCAGTGTCTAAAATTCCATTTTATGACAATGGTGTTAAAAGTGATTACTTCTTGCACTGAGTGCTAAAAGTAATCACTTTTAGTGCGTTTGTAGAAAAAATAGTGTATGATATTCGTGCTAAAAGTGATTTTATTTTGTCCAAACTTCCCTTTTCACAAAATAAAATGTCACTTTTAGCACTTATATATCATAAATAACTATTTTATTTTTATATAAATTAGCGTCAAATGTGTAAAATGTAATTTTTTTTTTACTTAATGGGAGAAACATAATATCGACATCTAGGACCTGGCCCCTTGAGGTACCGGGCCCGTGTTCCGGGGAACACACGGAACACCGGTGACTACGCCCCTGACTCCGGATGGTTTTGCCTTTCTTTCCCAATTTATCGAAACTCATTCGATTATTCAATAGACAAACATTGGATATTTGTTTTAATATTTGTATACCTACTTTTAACTTATTGATTTATTATCAAAAAACCAGTAATTATATAAAAATTGCATATATTTACATCATCATATTTACAAGTCCAGAATCTAGCCAAATAATAAATTAACGGATAAATACTTATTAGTCCACACAGCAAATAGGTATATAAGCTAATATAATAGCCAAATACAACTTACTTTTATCAACAAAAAAAAACAACCAATAATATCTATATTTAAAAACTGTCAAAAAAAATCTGTAAAAGCTATGCTTTGTGTCAGATTGTACATATCATGTATATTTTTATAGAAAATTAGCATTTTTAAGGCAACACTCAAAAACATGTGTGCAAAAAATTTCTAAAAAATATGGTACATTGAAACGTCAAAAAATATTGACGTCTTCACATTTAAGGAACATTTTTCAATAGCAATATGCCATTTACAAAAATACCATTGATTACATAATTTTTCTCTTACATTAAACTAATAATTCTTTTAACTATATAATTTCACTCTTAGCGTCCTTATTCTTAATATCGAGCAGCGTCGTCGTGGACATTGCCACCCTAGGAATACTGGTGTTTTGGTGAAGATGCCTATAAATAATACTTAATGAATAGACGGCCCCTAAGGCTCCTAACAGCATTCCGACTCCCACATCCCACCAATGATGTCTCCTATCAGTTATCCGGCTGAGGGAGCATACCAGTGACCAGCAAATGACACAGGCGATGAAGAACGGTTTGAATAATTGGCCAATTTTTTGGGTTGTTAGACGAGATTGGATTATATACTGAAAAAAAATGAGATTCAGAATCAAAATATGTTATTAGGAACTATGCCTATTTGAGATGATAAATTAGTCCTTACATTCGGGCTTCATATTTTGATACAATTGATACAATTTTTGTTTGAGTGCTAAATAAGAAATATAATTTCAACACTGATATAATGAGTATTGCTTTCATTATTATATTGAGATATGCTATGCAATTTAAAATCCTAGTATGATAATATGATACATTATTGCAATAGACCATTTTAATTTTTCCAGCTCGGATGCTGGATGAGAAAGTTAAGATGGAGCTTTCCGCGACAAAACCCAAGATAGAAGTGCAAGACAAGGAACACTAGTAGTAGTAGTCATTGAGAGGCCATGGTTCGGACACCGAATAATACTACAACCACAGGTGAACTAAAGTGGAAATGAGCAACACACAGCAGAGACCAATCGCGTAAATCAGAGGTGTTAAAGTTGAACTAATTCAATATTGAAAACATAATTCTTACCGAAAAATATACAGCGGCAAATACACTCAGCGACGAGTGTCCACTAGGAAAACTTCGTGACGTGTCAGACATAAAATAGAAACTGTACTTTGTCGTGGTACATTCGTAAGTCGAAATGTATTGTCCATCTGTACAGTTTTGTGCTGCATCGGGCTGACAGACTTCGAGAAAATAAGGTCTGTGCTCTCCTACTAGGACTTTGGCTACCTCTGTAATGAGAAGAACTAGCGCGGACCTAGACAGAAAAGACATTATTTGATAAGATAAAATATTAAAATATTTATAACTTACCCAACCAGGTACTCCTTATAGAAATACCAAGCGTCTCGCCAACTTAGTCTAGATACTGCCGCCTTTCTAAGGTACTCGACGAGAAATAATACTAACCCAGGTACTACCAAAAGACAGGATACCAATAAAGTAGTAGCGCTAATCGTGTCACCGGTGAAGCTGTGGGATAACGCTGGATCTTTGCAATAAAATCCGGTTTTCGTTGTAGGAATGTAGCCTAGTTCGAGGACTATTATACATGATGTGACTGAAAAAGAAATATAACTATAACCAACTAAATTAAATAAAAGAAGATTCTGCGAGTCTATTTCTGTATCACTAACAATAAAAAATCAACTTACAGCTTGGAAATCGGTAAAGTTTCATAACAAAATCCCTTCCTTGGATTTTGTTCGGTTATTGCAATAAATATTACGGATATGACCTGTGATTAACGTCCAATTATTATACCTTGTTTATTCAAAGGATCCCCTGAAAGTTGGCCTTTCTATAGCTATATACTATAAATTACGAATTTAGTAGTGAAATGGAAACCTAGAATTTTTTTAAAAATAGATGGACAGGTTGCAAGGGTTGACTGTAAATATGCAGACGGAGTTTTTGGCCATGAGACTAGAAACTACTTACCAGAGCTGGACGAAAGACTTTCAAAAAGTATTTCAAAATATTGAAAACCTAATGAAGACTGAAAGTACCTATTTAAATACCAAATAATATTTGACTTGAACATAATTAAAAACTTAATTAATACAAAAAGTAGGTATTTGAATACTTTTATCAGGCAGATAGGTACTTTATTCAAATACTACAGATTAAAATTCTTTGAAAATGCTCTGGCAAATACATGAAAATATTTATTTTAATAATATGAATGTTACGAAAATGAACATCTTGAAAAATAAATACACTAGATGACAGTGTAAAATACGTACCTAATGCATTCAAATAAACAAGTCAAATGATCAAAAGTAAACGGAAGGGCACAATTATCAAAGCTCAAAGTCTGTATATATTTTTCTAGAAATGTGGCAGGCGACAGAACGTCTGGCTTCGGGATACGCACGTATCCATTTTAGGGACTAATAATTTGATGATTTGAAACTTGGTGTTGATATTATTCGCAGAAGAAAAAGTATTTCATTTCATTTCATTTCATTTATTGAATAACTTTACAAACACCTATAGTAATTACATGCAAAGTAAAAAAGACACACATTACAAAAAAAAAAAAAAAAAAAAATACACAAAAACCTACTTAAAACTCAAAAATATGAGGACAGTCTATGGTGTTATCAAGGCAATTATCTGTCTCAGACTGCTGTGGAACATATCTATTCTGTTATAGAGGTTCAGGAATTCATTTACTATTATTTGCATATTAGATAAAGGGGATAAACTGTCATTGGGGTCTATCCAGAATAATCCTCTATTGACAATTCTTAGGCCAATTTTAGGAACATTAAAACTGATATGCCTGATAAGATCACAGTGTTGATATTTCTTATGGTTTACAATATTATAAATTAAGATTATAGCTTGTACTCTACGCCTAGATGATAAAGTTTGAAAATTAAAGCCATTTAACATCGACTGGTAGGAGATTCTAAAAGGGTATTCATTGTTCCTTCTAACATATAAGTATCTCAGAAAACGCTTTTGGACCTTTTCAATTTGATCCTGATTTGTTGCTGCAATTGGAAACCACACTGAGCTAGCATACTCAAGTTTTGGGCGAACCAATGAATTGTATAATTTAATTACAGTTGGTATTTCAAAATTTTTACTGTTTCTAATAATAAAGCCCAAGACTTGGTATGCCTTATTGACAATATTATCAAAGTGTGAATTAAATTTAAGATTTTTCTGAAATATGACACCTAGATCAAGCACCGCGTCAACCTTGTTAATCGGAACATTTTCAATTGAATAATCCTGAATGACATAATTCAATTTAAATAGGTATGTACAGGGTATTTGATTATATTTGGACTCATACCTACAGCCTTTACTATTTAAGATAGAAAAAAATTCAAAATACAAAACTTGACAGTTTTCTTCTATATTTTCTTTTAGCGCTATCAGAAAAAACAAAATCGCATCGGAAAATGGAGAAACGTAGGTAACTTCGACTTTTTTAAATGGAACACCCTGTATATTATGCGATAAAATGAAAGATCTTTTCTTCCTGATTCCAAATATACAGGGTGTTTCAGAAATGGTGTTACAAACTTCAGGGGCAGATAGTATTCATGAAAATAATTGAAAAAGTTCCTATGGATATAGGTCCGGAAACGCTTTGTTTCCAAGATACAGGGTGATACGTTTTTAAAAAAAATAGTTTTTTATTAATAGCCCAAAAGAGCTTTAGCCGATTTCAATGAAATTTTCACGGTTCATTTCATCCATTATCAGTCATCTACTGGACCAATTAGATTTGATCCAGAATTCCCAGGGGCGTACCCAGCGACCAAGTCGGTTGTTTTTGTGCAGAAAAAAATATCACTCTGTAGTTTTTGTACGATTTTTATTGATTATTCAGATAGACACACTAAAAATACAACATTTTTGTCTCTTACATTTTTCAGTTATCTCGCTTCGTTTTCGCGGAAAAATTACAATACTATACCTCGACATGTCTCTGAACTCCCTAAGAAAAAATAAAAATGTTTAGGAATTGATTAAAAATTTACTGGCGTTTGTTGATTTATGAAAACAAAACAAAAAAAAACCTCAAAAGGAATTTATGTCCTGGTAGCTCAATGAATGGGTGATGTATCTTAATTCCTATGAATTTTTATGTTTCCTTATGGAGGTCAGAGACGTGCCGAGGTATGGTATTGTAATTTTTTCGCGAAAACGAAGCGAGATAACTGAAAAATGTAAGAGACAAAAATGTTGTATTTTTAGTTTGTCTATCTGAACAATCAATAAAAATCGTACAAAAACTACCGAGTGATATTTTTTTTTGCACAAAAACAACCTACTTGGCCGCTGGGTACGCCCCTGGGAATTCTGGATCAGATCTAATTGGTCCAATAGATGTCTGATAATGGTTGAAATAAACCGTGAAAATTTCATTGAAATCGGCTAAAGCTCTTTTGGGCTATTGATAAAAATTATTTTTTTTTTTGAAAACATATCACCCTGTATCTTGGAAACAAAGCGTTTCCGGACCTATATCCATAGGAACTTTTTTAATTATTTTCATGAATACTATCTGCCCCTGAAGTTTGTAACACCATTTCTGAATCACCATGTATACAGGGTGTCACGAAAGGTTTGTTACAAACTTCTAGGGATGGTAGATCTCGTAAAAATAAAGCTTTTTTCTTAATAAGCATGTGTCCGGAAATGTTTCGCTTTCCAGATACAGGGTGTTAAACTTTGTAAAAAAAAGCCAATTTTTTTATTAATTCTTAGAAATGCGTTGTACGAATTAAATTAAATTTTCATAGTTTGTTGACACCTTTATGAGGTATCTTTTGGACTCCTCAGAGTTGACCCAGTAATTCCAGGGACGTGCCACAGGTTTTGTGGGATGGTTTTTTTGCACGAAAAACATCGTCCAGTAGATTTATTTTCAATTAAGATATGTTTTTATCTCCTTATTTTTTTTCCGTATGCTGCTTAGTTTTCGAGATAAAATTTAAAAACCATTTTAGGCTAACCACGAACGGCACTGACCTCCATAAATAAAAAATAAATTGCCACAGAATTACCTGAAATTTTACCAGGCTATTTGTTGCTCAAAAATAAACAAAAAACTTTTTTTCTAAAACGCTCGCACTTCTGAGAATTAATGTAAAAATTGATTTTTTTCACAAAGTTTGACACCCTGTATACAGGGTGCCCCACGGTGGATGGCGTATCAGACGTTAATGGAGAACTAAAAAGCAGATCATTTCGAAAATTTGGCAACCGGGATGAACGACCATAATCTACACTTTAAAAATATTTTTGTTTATGCGGTGTTGCCGCTTCTACTCTCAACCAGTGGCAACATCGCTATTTTAAATGAAACACCCTGTATGTGATTGCATATTTGGATTCTACGTAAAATTCTGAGCAGATTTCATGTGATACACCCTATACCTAAGTTCAACTGTTTTCGAAATATTGACAGTTGAAAATTGACTTTTTGCAACTTTGACAGGCTGTAAAACCTGAACGGTTAATTTTAGAGGAAAACCGATTTCACATTCCTGTCTTAGATTTTTATAAACTATCATTTGACACCAACTTTGAATTTAATCCATGATTAAAAAGTCCAATTAAATTTAATCTCCGATTAAATTCAAAGTTGGTGTCAAATGATAGTTTATAAAAATAATCTAACATAGGAATGTAAAATCGGTTAATAAGAGAATTTCTAAGGAATACTCAAGTCTCTAAAAGTGAGTATACCCAATCTCAAATCAAATTGTAATTTTTTTTCATCCATATATTTTTGTTAAATGGTTTTGTTTCACTAGGTAGAAAAGCACGCGAGCGTGCGCAAAGTAGTACTTTTGCGCACGCATTTCCGGGCTCAAAGTTACACTTTTCCGCACTCAGTGCGGATACAGGCCTTATCCGCACTGAGTGCCGAAAAGTAATTATAATTGTCAAGCAACAATAAGTGCACGCTTTTCCCAGCCTGTACAGAACCAGATACCGACAGCTTTGAAGAGCAATTGGAATCAATCTCAAAAACCGACGTAGAAGTGATGAGAATAATAATTGCGAGAGAAAAACTGGAATGGACAGTGACAACGACAACCTTCCACTCTTACAAGTTAGCAGGACCGGATGGAGTAATGCCAGTTATGTTACAAAAATCCTTGCAAAGCATTCTAGAACCAATGCTAAAAATATTTGCTGATTGCTTAACACTATAGGGCATACACCAGCAAGATGGAGAGAAGTAAAGGTCGTCTTTATACCCAAAGCAGGTAAATCAGGCTCCTCAACCCCAAAATATTATAAACTATAGTTTATCATAGTTCTTGTTGAAAACTTTAGAGAACCTGATTGATTTACACATTAGAGAACTAACAGGAATAAACACGCAATACGCAATTCCCAAACCATATACCTAAAAGGAAGGTCAGTGGAAAGTGTACTGTATGAAGTAGTCGGAACAACTGAAAGATCTCTTGAAAATAAGGTGCATTTCTGGACATAGAGGGTGCATTCAAAAATGTAACGATTGAGTCCATTGAAAAATCCGTGGAGCACCTGAAAGTAGAACCAGTCATCATACAACGGATAATAAAAATGCTGAAAGGCAGGAAATTGCGTATGACGACGTAGCAATATTGGTGAGGGGCTTCAGCTTATCAACTATCAGTGAAATCATGAAATCCAGCATTAAAGGAACTCTCCAGATGGGCAGGACAGAACCGATCAGAGGCGCAACTGCAAAGGTAGCTCATAGACTAAGTGGAAGGTGGCATGAGCCACAATAGACTAATAAGTCGCGGTTTATAATTTATAACCTAACCTAACCTAAGTGGAAGGTCACTATGCCTTTAAGAGAAGATTGGGATCAAACCCCACATAGGGAAAATGACATAGCAATCTTCACAGTTCCTGCAAAAACCAAAACTGGCATAGGAGCCAAAGTATACTCAGAAGCACTAAACATTTCAGAGTCCTACAAACTCAGGGATGATTGTAGCATCCTGTATGCCGAAATATTTGCTATTGAAAAAGTTATTGCTAAGAGAGGACAATGCGATGGGAAATGTCACCATAATGTGGTTAGCAAAGCAGCGCTGAGACTACTAGAATCACATAAGTATAGTGAAATCAAAAATAGTGATGAGCTGCCGGAAAGCGCTGTCCTGGATCAGGACTAAGCTGAACATAGTAATATCGCAGGTAACGAAATGGCAGATAGACTGGTAAAACTGGGAATGAAAAAGGACCAAGTTGAAATAGACGATCCATTACAACCAACGATCAAACTGTTGGACGATTTAGTAGACAAAAGCATAACGCAGTTGCACAACAGAAGATGGAGCAATCGCAGATTGCATAACATTACGAGCTCTGTGGCCGTACGTGGATATAGAGAAAACCAGGAAATTATTAAAACTCGATAAAATATTGATAAGCACCTTAGTAGGGGCAATCACAGGACACTGGTCGGAACAATGCTTCATAAGTGAGGCCTCGGGACCGATGAACTATGTCAAGATCAAGAATGCTTTGATGAGCATGGAACAATAGAGCACCACTACCATGTCAAACGCCTACACCACGTGGCCAAAGTTTCCTGGAGGACCTGGAAGACACGGGAAAAATAGGGACAAAGAAAATACTCAATTTCGTAGAAACCATGCACTGGCGTAAAACGAAGAAAGGAGGAACGGGCTAACCTATATTGTTGGACCATTTTTTATGTAGGATGATCCTGGACATAGGATCATTTTTTAAGAATTGTTTGATGACGCGCTTCATCCGTATGAATAAAGATCGTGCACCCCCTCAGTACGCTATTGCTGTGCGGCAATTTTTGGATGAGCGTTTTTTAGGATATTGGATTGGCCGAGAATATCCCGTTGAATGACCATTTAGATTACCTGATCCATCCCTTTCAGATTTTTTCGTGTGGGGTTATTTGAAACCAGGAGTATACCTACGCCATACAATCTGGAGACATTCCGCGCACTTGCCGCTTCTCGAGCGTGATAGGACATTTCCTTGCGAGTGCGCATATCCGTAAAAAAAAATATATGACGCGAAAGGATTGTAGAGGAATGCCGACACCTTTAAGCTGGAATCAGAGCTACTGACATGACATGACTGGCTGCATGTTTTTGATTGTTGTTGTTTCATTTCTGAATGGTTTCAGTTTCAGTTCAGTTGCTTGAAATATTTGACAGTACCTATATTTTAAAAATTTATACAGTTTTAAAATACATGTATTGTATTTTTACCGTGTAAAAATTCAGTTTTTTTTTTCTGTTTTGTTCTAGAAGCCACGACTCACCTACTTACTTTTATCATTCAAATCTTGAATCAATACAAACTCGACTGTGTGTCAGCACACGAAATGAACATATGAAGTCAGAATATTATATAATTATTAATTATTATCTTTAAATTGTTCATAAATCGTATTAGTCATTAATCACAGGTCAAACCGATGACACTAAATAAAAAACCAACTTCCCAACAAAAACATAACCAACCAAACCACACACACGATTACGATAAGAAACACCTGAAGGTCACTATTTCTATTATAGAAGTTATACTTAGTAATGGAAAAGTCTGTATTAGTAATATGAGAAATAATTTTCACACAATGAATAAAATAAAGTACCTGAGTAAAGTCAAGGAAACCGATAAAGGCGGCGATAAATAAAGCAAAATAATAAAACTGTTAACTGGATGTTTAACTAGTGTTTACTTCGAGTTTCACACTATTGCCAGATTTCTATAGAATTTTTCCCCATATATTTAATTCCTTATACTGAATACTCGAACCAAAGTCTACTATTCACACATCCTTATGCTATAAGTGCGAAAAGTGGATGTAGGTAGGTAGGTACCTCAGATCATTTATTAAAAACAAAAAACTCACACCGACCCTATTAGTTATTAGGTTCGCATGGGCCTATCCCATAATATCCTAAAATTACCGCTCAAAACAAAGATCTGGTAACATTGCAAAGTTGATGATACATTTTTGCCCCCACCGCGGCCATCATCGTCGTATTGTTTGTTGTTTGCATCGCCTCCTCGTGGCCTTCCAAACCAAAATTATCGGCAAACTAAAATATTCCTTACCTATAGCCCAGACCGTGGCGTTTATAGCATAAGCCAACTTGATTTTCCTAAACCGTATTCTAGATGACGCTGGTTGTGCTGCGTTGTTCTTTTCGGGATCTGTGATGTTCAGGCGCACACTGTTTGGCGGTTGTGCGGCGTTGCCTGTAGAGGGCAGCGGTGTAACCATCGCCTTATTATCCTGGAAAGAAAAAGGATTTTCAATTTCGCATCTTCACAAAGTCTGACTTAATCGATTTAAATAGACAAAATTTAAATAAAATTAAATACATTTTGCTCTTATGATCCAACAGGTAGATACACTCAGCACTCCAATCAATTGTTATACATACAATGAATATAGTAGTTACCTCTTATATAGCCACCCTAGGGCCGGTTTCTCAATAGCGAGTCACCCCTGAGTTAAGCATAACTTCGGGGTAAACATAGCAACTCGACACGCTTACCCTGGAGTTAAGATTAACCCGGAGGTGACTCGCTATTGAGAAACCGGCCCCTAGTCGCATATATTCTTGCAGTTTCTATTAAGATTAGAATGCAACTAAGCAGCATTATAGTCTTCATAGAAATTGCACTCTTACAATCCGTAGATATAGCGGTTCACAAAATATAAAGATTGTGTTACATCGATTCATCGATTAATTGCTAAAAAATAACGCACCTTCGCTCAGTTGTAGGCCGACCTCAGTTCAGCATAAAAAGACCAACTTCTTGGCCTCATGACATAAATAGGTAGTTAACTATTATAAAGCATGCAGCTCTTTGAGAAGGTTTAGTAGATATATTTATTTTTGGTTCAACCCTGGGCGATTTGTGGTCAATGCTGAAAAAATTTAATACAGAGGGAATCCTTTCGGAGATGAATGATGAATTCGATGAATACCTATTTGAACTGGTTTCGGAAGGCAAAAAGATCCCCAAGCAACTAGCTGCAAGTAATGCATCAAGTAACCATGATGTGGAAACCAGGCCATCAAGGCTTAGATGGCGAAGAGAAGACCCACCTTATGGAAAGAATGAACGGATTGGAATAGAATGAAATGCTAACTGATTGGAGTCGAAGAGGTCCATATCCATTCAAGCAAAATAACCTGAACCACGTCTCGTTATGACAGGAAGTCACATCAAAACAGTCGTCGGCCTGCTCGCTAGACATTGTCTAGTAAACTATCACCCTTAAACGAAAGCCAGAATAGAGAAGGGCTTTTGCAAATTTTGCGAACAAGCAACAGAAATAGAGGAAGATCTTCTCTGTGACCATACAACTAGGAAAAGCCTACACATCTTGGAAACCAACTGGTGTGATCCGGGATTGCCTCCCTGAGCCTACATAAGTTTGTTGGTAAAGTGAAATATTTCAAAATTCTCAAATGAAAATGTGATATATCGTAATTTTCTCAACGTTCTCTCAACGCTTGGAAAAGTCTGCAGATTCTGGTCTTTAACCAGTTTGTAGTTATCAACAGATGTCGGCAAAGAGTTATCTTTTTGATGTTGTGATAAAAATATTATAAAATGTACGCGTTCTGATTCAGACTCGGTCATTCGACTAATTAGGGCGGGGCGGTATCCCAAGTAATTAACTTGTCAGCTAAAGCACTAGCTTCGAATCTTGTTTTTGCTGTCAGCAGCCAGTGAGTTAGAAAGTCTTGTTATTTGTAAATTCCCGTTCTTAAGTGAGGCAGTTGAGTCAGCTTTCGCAGACCATCGTGTGTCTGATAATCGCTTGACTGTGAGGAGCTTTTTGGCCCCGCTTAAAACTTTTAAAAGCTGTAAACATTCTGTAACAAATCAAATAAATTGGCAGACCTTGTCAGATTTTCTACACTGTTAACGACAAGATTGAGCAAATGGATGGCTTGCGGAAGGAATATAAACAGCTTCTAGTGCATGTGAATTTATCCGTTATACAACCACCAGACTTAGGGAGGTATTATCATGGCTCTGCCCTTTACAGTTTCAGTTTCTTCAATAGTGGTTCCCACAAGAGTCTCGTTTCCGAAAGTCTCGCATAGTCTCGTCTGGTTTTCGACAAGACGAGACGAGACTTTTATTGGTTTCGTGCGATACGTCTGCAGTCTCATGCGAGAGTCTCGCATGCAGACAAAGTAGAAGAGAAAAATCACGATGCCAAAAAGAAAATACATAATATATTGAAGAAAATACATTTTTGTTTTGTTTTATTTTTTTCACAAATGTTCTGGAAAAGTGAATGACCTTGAAATTTGCGAAAAATTTCGCCTGCGGTGCGTTTTTGGAGGGCGCCCCCTCAGCCCCCCGTACCATTTACCCCCCCCCCCCCCCCCCCCCAGACTACTGGTCACGCGTCGCCACTGGCTGCGAGACACTTCATATTTCATTGGCGAGACGAGAAAAGACTTCATGAAATTCTGGTGTCGTCGGTCTCGTGGAAATCGCTATTCTTCAAGAATTCGTGATTATAACGGTGATAACTTGAAGCAAAAAAGTACCTCTAAATGATTTATGATATGACGGAGCTCTTTTTATGGGCCTCACGGTCCTAATGGTTAATGCGGTCCTGGATCCATGTACAACATAATATCTGGGAGGGTAGTAGTGATGAGCGGCTGTATCAGTCCGAAACTAATCCAAATGCAATCCATACTGGAGTAAAATAAAGCTGACGCCTGATGTAAACAAAAGACCATGTTAAGATATTCACCAGCACCAGCACCGCACTCAAGCACCACCTCTATTGAATTTCACTTCTAAAATACTTCAAAATATTCCGGAAATAAATGGTTGAAAATAATTTCTTTATAATTTGAAGGTACATCCCTGATTGACCAATCGCCTTATTTTGCGGGACGTCATCGAACACGGGCCTATGTTTACGGCAGGCATCACATTATTTCAGTCTTCAGTATATGCAACTTACAATATGAACTGTCGTATTAAATCAAATTAAGACTTGTAATAATATAAAGCGCCTTACATCGCTCTTGACTGAAACTTATATAGGTAACTATCCACTAAACGTGGCAATACTGTAATTATCGGCTCATGCTAACTTAAAGTAACCCAAACTCATCCAAGCAATTGTATTAATTTTTACACAACTTAGACTAACTGTATACCAAATATTGATATGGGAATTAATTCAATTTTGATCTTTCTCTCACCTTTGACAAAGATTGGGATTTGGTACTAAGCATTCCTCAAATTAATCAAACCTGATTTTTTTTAAAAATATTTTATTAATATAGAAAACATTTGTATTTGGTTCTGAGCATTCGTCAAATTTATTGAGCCTATACACGGAGTAACAGGTTTGACTACAAAAATTTTAACACGTGAAAATATGGCCCATTTTGATTTGGGGTCCAAGCTCAATTATTTTTAAGGAAAGGCTTTTGAAGTTTTGATATTTTTTAACGAATATTTGAAAGATAAAGAAAATTTTAATCATAATGATATGTAAAAATTTTTATTTCATTTAATTATTAAGTAATTATGGTATCTAAGCATCTGACAAGATCGCACAACACATACACTTGATTTGTCCTATGTCAGTTAGATGAAGCATTGGAAACGCGCGTAATTTATTCTTTTTTGAAAATAAAATGTTCACAAACGTTGAATATGTAGATACTTGTTTAGGCAGAATTTCTGGAAAATACCCATTAAGTCGCCAGAATTTACAGGGAAAGATTTCCCAAGAGCACCCATCTGATGAAAAAACATTGTGCCCGTTTTACAAAGATTGCGTGATACGAGAAGTGTGAGTGTGCAAAATCTGCGTGTTGATTTGAGTGTTTCGAGAACCTTTTAACAAAAATTAATATTTTTATAATGAGGATTTGGCAAGTAGCTGAGTAAGTATTATTTAATTTTTCTCTTGAATGTTTAGTGCAAAAATGTCATTGAGTGCAATTCACAACTTGATAAAACGACACATTTTTTATTTTTACTAGAAAAATGGTAAAAATGCAAGTTATTTTTATTATTTGCAACCCAATAACAAACCAAAACGTAAGCAGATGGAATTAAATAGACTCCTTACAAAAAAAATCTTTAACTTTACCAATTTTATTTACATTTATATCCTGGCAGAGATAATACCTGTATGATGTTGTCACGTTGTTAGCATTTTTCTAAATTTAAATTCTGCAATAACCCCGAAAATACTAACAATTGCCTCATGGTTAATAGGACAGTTTTAGCTAGAAATGGGCCATATTATCTCACGTTTAAATTCTGGTACTCATATCATGCCTGATACACTGTATTATTTTTATCGAATATTTATATTTTTAAAGAGCATGTAAATTTTATATCAGGTATTCATTACATTTATCAAGCTTCCATTACTTTTATAGAATATGTAATTTCTTGTCATGCATTCGGAAAAATTAACTGAAAAACATAATATGCATTGGGAATAAAATATCGAGCGTATTTATAATTTGTATTGATTATTTATATAAAACAAATTGAATGAATGCTAATCATCATGCACTAATTAATTTTTTCTGAAGCTAGTAAAGCTTTGATGTTCCACAGTGAAAGTGGGCCCAGTTTTAATTAGTACAGTTAATTAGCATTTGATTATCTAAGTGATTTCACATCTATTTAATAGTTATGGGAGAAGAATCAATTTCCGAACCATTGTTCTGCTAGCTTTTTCTATAGCTAATGAGTACAACAATAAAGTACACACATTTTACTGTAGTCATACTCACCTATTGATTAGACTAAACTCGTATTTAGGGCGTCATTAAGCTTACCTGGTGATTAGAAAAGTATTTGAGAAATAAGTATTCTTATACTTGAATTGAACTTGCCTGCGGAAGACCTAGGGGTATGTAAGAGGAGTATCAAACTCGCCTGGGTAAAGTTACTTAACAATTGCTAAAGCCCTAATTTTGCAAGATTTCAGTCAGATTATCAAATAAAAGCCAAAATATCCAAAATAACTTTTCAACAACCGAAAAACTTTTTGATTATGGGAACATTGACATACTGTGTTGTGTACAGACCAAATGAATCTCTGCTAGAAGATGATCTAAAACTCTTCACAAATACCATAACAAGCCTTGCTGCCAACCACCAAAATCGTATTATCGCCGTCGACTTAAGCCTTCCCAGAATTTCGTGGCCACTGGCAGATCTAGGTCTATTAAGGGATGGGATAGCGCTTTTACGGTAACAAACTTAGATCATTACTCACCTAACCTGTTACAGAGAGGGTCAAACCCCGTCACTTTTGGATCTGGTCAAAGTTAATGACACACAACTTATCACCAAACATGAGCAGTTATCATCCATCGGAAAATCAGACCACGAACTATTAAAACTGACACTGCAAGCAGTATTTGTTAACACAGATTCAAAAACAACAGTACCTGATAGAGTGAAACACATAAATTATGAAGATATAAAACATCATTTATCGCAAATCAACTGGGAAGAAGATGACAATATAGATCACGTATGGGCCACCTTTCTCTCAGAACTATAGACAATATCAGATAGCAACACCGAATACAAAATCAAAAGATTGAATAACCTAAAACCATGGATAACTAACAACCACATCTGAGATTGCAGAAGAAAAATGGCCTTATGAAAAGGTATTTACGTACCATCAATCCCACTGACTACAGGGAACATCGCAACTTCTCCAACACTCTAACAGAAAAAATCAAAGAAGCTAAGCTAGCAACATTAACAGTCCAACAAACTTTGAGAGCCCCAGAAAACTACACAAGCACATTAGATCACAACTAAACACCAAAGTAGGCATTCCTATCCTAAAAATTCCAAATGGGGAAATGTGTTTTCTGAAACGAGTTTTCTCAAGTATTCACCACGGAAGCATTAAATAGGCACTAGCTGACGTCACACACATAACCTCACTTACGATAGAGGCACCAAAAACGTCAATGTGGTCGACTCGTCTGAACAGGTAATAGCTAGTTCGTTTGAGAAATATCGTTTGTTTGTCCCATTAAGGTAGGTTTGTCTCAATGACCTGTCTGTCCCCATATCGAAAGTGACGCTATGTGATTTTTGACGTAATTTATTCCCCCATCGAAAGTGAGGTTATGTATGGGACGTCAGCTAGTGCCTGATTCCTAAAGATCTCCAAATTAACATTACCAGGGTTCCAAATGAAATCACAACTATCCAAATCACAACTCAAGACATTCTTAAGAAGATAAAGGCCCTGAAAATTGCCAGCTCTCCAGGTCTGGACGGAATATACATACATTAGTTCTTAAAAAGTGCTCAACGACGTTGTTGCTCCCTATGCAAAAAAATGGATATATCACTGGAGCAGAAAAGGGTCCCCGCCGCTTAGAAAATTGCATCAGTCACTCCGATATGCAAAAAAACTAGATGCTGGAAACTACAGGCCAAAGGGCTTGTTACCCATTATAAGAAAAATCATGAAATCCATGGTCATAGAAAATCTGAGACGTTGAACAAGAACAATTGATTCCAACATGGTTTTATATCAAAATGGAATACCACAACTTGCCTTCTTGACTGTCTTAACAGCTGAACAAAATCATTAGATCAAAAAACTCACATTGATGTCATATTATACTTGGATTTTGCCAAAGCATTCGACCGAGTCCCAAGCTAGAATCTTCGGTTAAAACGAGATCATTTTGGTGTGAGGGGGGATTTACTTCTTTGGATCAAAGACTATCTTACAAACAGGGAGTACAAAGTCAGAGTTGACGACTTATACTCTGAACTCTATCCAGTACAAAGTGGCGTACCCCAAGGCTTTGGTACTTGCAATTCTGTTGATTGTAACTTACACGACATAAAAACTTATGGTTCCGCCAACAATTCTGACTCGCTCCAGAATGATTTAAACCAAATTAAAAAGTGATGTGAGGACTGGCAACTACCCCTTAATGCAAAATGAGTGGAAAAAAAAACCAGGAAATGAATACACCGTCGATCAGTACTGGTCAGTGTTCAGCAACATAATGACCTTGGAGTTCTGATGACCAGGTCAGCACATGTAACAACAATATGCAAAATAGCCAACAGCAAGTTATTCCTTCTATAGAAGGTCTCCCCAAGAAGCGTTTACGAAACTGTAAAACATATACTGCAGGCCAATCCTAGAGTATGCGGGTCAGCCTTGCTCCCGGACCTCATTGGAGAACGCAATAGCCTTGAGTACAGAGAAGAGCAATACGATTGCAACTCAGTTTCTACCAAGAAGACCTACATATGAGGAAAGATTAGAACAACAAAAACTGCTGAGATTCCAAAATAGAAGAACAAGAGGCGATCTCATCTTCACCTACGAAACACACCACAACAACATTCAAACAGACACCTCGCCCTATGCACAGACCAGACACTCCGGGGTCACTATCTCAAACTTAAAAAAGAAAACTTCTCCACAGTGTGTAGGGAGAACTTTCTACCAAACAGAGTCTTTGCTCTCTGAAATCAACTCCCAGTTAAAACAGTTAGTACCAACTACTTCAGTGTCAGTATTCAAGACAAAACTTGATAGTCAGCTCTCATAGTGCTTAAACCAATACAAACACTTAAAAACGAACAGTTCCAAAATAATTGATAAGTGACAGTGCAAAAATGGGCTTATAGGTCTCACCTCAGCCCATATCGACTAGATAGTGATAGTATAGTACTTATTTAATAATAGATTACACCAAAAATAAGGGGGACGAGACTATGAAATCGGATTAGAGGTGAGCAGTTTTTGGCATGGCAAGTTCAATCGTGTCATTAAGATCTACATTCTGTTAGTCGAGTTTAATGCCGCCCCATAATTCCTCTACTAGCTATACCCTCTTAGCACTATCCTATCTAATTTTCTTGTGGTGAAATTGTGGTGCAACTAAATCCTTGAAAACAGATCTCATATATTCTTGGCAAACTATTTTGTTATGATAGAATCATTCACAAAGAGGTTGTGTACAGAATTAAGAGTTCATGTACCATCTAGAAAAATTATTGAGACAAAATTATGTTCGATATTATAAAGAAACCACACAACACTAATAAAAAAATATTGTATTCTCCACTAGTGCACATCTAAAGGTTGGTCACTGAGTGAAATCCTTGTATTCTCCAGGTGCACATGGTAATATTAAGGTGAGTCAGGGTAGAGCTTACAAAGGGTAGTTTAACCCTATACACAAGCTTCTGTAATCGGCTATCTTATGATATCAAGACAACAAATACACTCAATAAGTACAAAAGTATTATTGAAGGTTAAAGAAGCGTCTGAGTTAATTTAATTTAAGATTTGTGTGTCTTGATTGAAATTGCTGAGAGCTACTTTCGCCAGATTAGTTTGTTTTACTATACAAGATATCAGCAATTTGAGTACTGATTAGGTTCCAAAGAGTACTTAAATTGCCTCCTAATCATTAGAGAAGTGGATAAAATTTGAATCTATTTTTAAGATATTTTAATAAATATACGTAATATTTTTCATAAAACAATCGTATCTTTCTTAACGTCTATTTCTTGCAAAAAAACCTATTGTATGTAGAAAAAACATTGAGCAGTAGCAAGTTTAGGCATTTTAAACTTGTATTTCAACCCAAATATATCACATTACATTCACAATTGTTTAACATCGAAATGGTAAAAACTCCTTTGATAAAATCGGATAACTATTATTCTACGAAAATTGTTGAAAAACCTGTCAAAAATCTGATCGGGTTTGCACGATACTGAGATAATAGCACCCGAGGTTCTACCGACGAATATTTATAAAAAGTGATATTATAATCGTTCGTGTAATGAACTTTGAAAAAACTTACAAGTAATTTTTCTCTACTACTAGATTCGTCATTTTCGTTATTATTTCCATGAAATATCACTTCTATGGAAGACTCGCGATCCCAAAGTTCTACCGCCATGGGAAAAAACACTGACTCTTTTGACACATTACTCTAACCACAATGAAACTACTAATTAATTGCAGGTGATTGCTAAGCAGCGCAGATTAAAATAACCTGATTTCTAAACATAAATTATTGTAAGTACCTTCTTATTTTCGTTATACCCATCAGATAAAAAAGTAGACTGACACAAAATTGTGAGAAGAATGACAACATTACAACATAAATGATCGATAATGATATTTATTTAAATTTGAGTTATTGTACTCATATCAGGTAAACCATAGATAGCAGATTAGATATGGCCCTTTTTCTACCAGAGTCTATGAGTAACGGGGCGTGAGGTGATTCACCCGCTTAATAGAAATAAATTGAAATTCAATCTAAATTTGCGTCAGGTGAATAATTGGAATTAGAAAAAGGGGAAAGCTTTTTGAAATAATAAAGAAAGCGTGAATTGCAAGCAATAAATTATGAAGGTAGGTACATACCATAGAAAGGCTCTTGTATTTATAGTATTGGCATTTCTTTTCATTCATAATAAAGTTTTTAGAAATGGAAAACTAAGTACCTATGTAGGTTTTTTTTAAAGGTTTATTGACGATCAAGTTAGCTTTATATGATACCTAAATTAAGTAGGAATTCACTTTTTTCTGAGAAATAATTCTTGTTTGTAGCCATTCGAGCCCTAAAAGTTTCTATGGAAACGGCATCAAAGATTTTAAATTAGAGCGTCTGCGTCCTCAAACTGATTGTTCAAATGCAAACATTTAATTTTCCTTTCTGCTTTAATAAATAAAAGATGGAGATAAAACTAAAACTAAAACACATAACTGAGTAAACAAATCGTGAAGAAAGACAACTGTAGGAAATTGATATCAAAAATATATATAAAAAAAAATTGATCTTAAGCTTAATCTGTTGAGGAAAACCACCTATTTAAAATATTATTTCTTCAAATCTCAACTTTTTAAAAAAGCGTTTACTGAATAAAAGTAAATATTGCAACCATGTAATGCGCCCTCAAGTTTAGGTTTTAGAAAAACAAGAACGCCGCGCCGCTACGAAGGAGCGTGGGTATCGAAGAGGGTAGAAGACAGAAGAAGAGAAACCAAGTAAGAGATTAGATCCGCCATTGTGGGTCTTCAATTTATTTTTATTTTTTAATTAAAATTGATAGTTAAATCAAGTTTGTGTTTGGTGATTAGTTTGTGTAAGGATCGTTCACAGGTTAGTTGATTAAATGTTATTTTGGTTTTGAGAGTTCAATTTATGCAAGAGTACTTATTATCTTGTTCATTTTTATGTATTTTTTGTTTGTTTATAACATTTTTTATAACATGTGTATTGCTCATGTATTTAACAAAAATCGTTTCATGCTGTAAACAATACCGATAAAGAGTAAATTTTAAAAAAATAAGAAAAATTATGTGCTGTCTCTTTGTGCTAGGATTTCGATTGGAATTAGAGTATGTATGTATTAGGGCCTTGTTGAATTTACTAACATTTTCCTACCCTGGCGAGAGAATATTCTAACAAATTTAAATAATCAATCTAGAGATATTGGCTCAAAAACAACAAAAGCTGAGTAGCTTCCCGTATTGGACCTCAATACCTGCTGGGAAATTGGCTAACTAACAAAAAAAAACTCTTCATTATTGAATATAGGTAGTGTTGATTGAATGTAATGTGTGTAATTGAAATTTGAGCACAAGAACAGGGGGGTACTTAATTTGAACTTTTATTAACTTAAATTATTAAATTATTGACTCACAATTATTATAAAAAATACACAGTATGATTCGATTTTTGAGGAATGTTAGATCGAGGGTTTCTCTGCCGTGCTCTTTCCCCTCGTTAGTTCCAGGCTGAGAACGGTACGATTTACTTTGATAATAAAGTAGACGTTTCACAAATTTTTCGTTTCTTTTACATATCACAACTTCCCTTAAATTTCCCAAATATTTGCTATGTCGGACTGGACATGCAGTAAGTAAAATTGAGTAAGTTTCCACAACGTAGGTCCTTTTTGTTTTTCATTTCATTTTTCAGAAGATTTTTTGTTTAAAAGGTAATAAAAATTCTCATCGTTCAATCTTACTGAACGAACCCGGGTATGTTATACTACACTGTCAAGTGCAGGCAAACTGTAAAGCTCATAGAATGTTTCAAAAATGTGTTTTCGATTTTAAGAAAGTTGCACTTGGATAAAAATGTAGGGCGCAACGACTTGGTCCGCCACTGGAGTCAGCTGTTTACGCTGCTTCCTTATCAGAGAACTGTCATCAGTCTGTCAGTCGGTTGACGTGGAAGACAACGAGAGGAGGGCGTTACTCGTTGTTTTTTGAGTTTATTGATGTTATGGTTATTGAATTTTGAATGGTAAATTGAACAGTGAGGGCTTTAATAAAATATAGATTTAACACGTTCCCTGCCAACGTGTTTTGAAGGATTTGGTAGCCCTGCCCCAAGATCACGCCTATGAATATTGTATCCCAAGGTGTATAACTTGTTCGCAAAATGCGTTTCACTAGTGATGAACTTGTCCTGCAACATGCTGGACTTCAAAGCAGAAGAATTAATTGCCAGGGCAACGCCGTGTTTAAAACAGAACAAGATGTACTAACAATTTTAAACCTTTTATTTGTCACTCATTTGTAAAACGTCATTTATCAAGTCAAAACATAAAATTGTATTACCTATGTATTAATTTTTTATTTATTGTTTACAAATGAGTAACAATAGTTATTTTCCTAACAAGTGCGCAAAGTGAAACTTTCCCGCACGAAAAAGCAGTTAGACGAACGACGCGAAGCGGAGTTCGGATAAGCTTTGAGTACGGGAAAGACACTTTGCGCAAGTGTTAGGAACAATATTTTTTCTACGAATATCTTAAAAAAGTAGACTTTGAATTATTACAATTTTAGAAAAATCAATCAAATCAAAATCTTCAAAAATCGTTTAAAATCTATTGGAATTCCTTAGAATGTCTTAAATTAAAATCCCAAAAAATCTTTTAACATCTTCTGGAATTTCTAGAATACCATCTAGAATATTTTCATGAGAGTCTCTCAAATATCAAAAATTGTACAAATTCCTAGCAGTACAGGCTGGTCCAATTTGGACACCTTTGATAGGAAACATCATGTTAACTAAGCGCTAATATCAACTAAAACCCTTCATTATGAATATTAGTTTATTCAGAAACCATCAAAACATTGAAAAATCAAGTATAACTATGGTAATTATGCGTAACAAAAAATGAGTGCGCAAAGAGTTTCCGTGCGCAAAGTAATCACTTTGCGCACGCAAATAGAAAAATAAATTATTGTACATCATACGCCAGGTATCAGTTTTTACTGGCTCTTGAAGGTGACAAGCTCGCCTGACGGCTCGCTAGTCATTTCCTTCAATCACCAGTAAAAACTGTTTTACCTGGCTAATAATGTAAAATACTATTACGTTATCTGATTTGAATTATGTTAATAATTTATCAGAATCTGAGGCAACGTGTCTCCTTTTAACACGTTCGCTGCCAGAGAGATTTCGGTTGATCGGGTCCAAAATGCCAATGTTGAAAAACTATATTTTATCATCGGAATAGGTCTAAATAACATAAGATATTCATCCAAAGTAGTACCTGACCCATATTTTTCCAAAAAAATACCATACCATACCATACCATACCAAGGACTAGCATGTTTGAAAAAAAAAATTTTTTTTGTTCAATCATGTCAGTGTGATATTCTTATACATGTCCCGTACGCCAGGCACCCCCATTAACCTGTATTTACAACGAATATACTCGTATTTGACTTTGAATGACACAATGCAAAATACGAGTCATCTCGTAGCTGGCACCTGTAATAAGATTGACTACTACGAGTTAACTCGTACTTGGCAGCGAACGTGTTAAATACTTACCGTCATTGCTTTGCTGAAAAATTAAATGAATTGGGTTGTTTCAAAGGTTGTGAAATGTCAATAAACTTGTTAGACAGTAAAAAGTGCGTGGTATTGTTCAAGATCTTGCAGACAATGATATCATTCAGGAATCAAATTCGCCATATGTTGCATAGGTATATTGGTCAAAAAGAGAACAGGTGAGATGCGTATGTGCTTGGACCACTGAGCGTTGAATGCAGAAACGGTTAAGGACGTATTTCCGCTACTAAGAATAGATGATCATCTTGAACGTTTAAGAGGAAGCAAGCACTTCACGTCACTTGATATATAGTATCAAGCCTCCACCAAATACCAATGGCTGCAGATTCTAGAGCAAAAACAGTATTCATTACGCCAGATGGGCATTATAAGCATACACGAATGCCATTTGGATTAGCAAATGCTCCAGCTGTATTTCAGCGAAGCATTAACCTAGTTCTTGGATCATTAAGATTAAATACAGCACTGGCCTACATGGATGACATCTTGATTCCGGTAGTTGACTTTGACAACGGATACAAAGCTTTATCAGAAATCTTAAAAGTATTTAGTAACGCTGGACTTACCCTACGCATGACTTAATGTTATTTTTTTCGACAAACTATTGATTATTTGGGACCTGAGACATCGGGTGTCAGACCAGGAAAAAAACTGCAGTAGAAGTTTCCAGTTTCTGAAAATGTCCATGAGGTGAGGCAGTTTTTAGGAGTTGCCAGTTATTTTCAGAATTTCGTCAAGAATTTTTCTCATATCGCAAGACCATTAAACACACTTATCGAAATGGGGACTAGGAGGCATATTGTTACAGAAACAACAAGATGGCAAGTTGAAACCTGTGTTGTATTATAGTCGTCAAACAATAAGCGAGGAACGGCGGTGGTACCACTCTTACGAGTTAGAGACATTAGCGATCGTTAATTGCATGCAGCAATTTCGTCTTTACCTCCTAGGAATCCAGTTCAAAGTAGTCACTGATTGTAGTTCAGTACGAAGCACTTTTAGTAAGAAAGATCTGATACCAAGAATAGCTAGATGGTGGTTGATTACTTTAGAATTCAATTTCTCTCTTGAATATCGGCCTGGCTCTAGGATGGCACACCTAGATGCCCTAAGCAGACATTCCTGCTGATGTAGAAGATATTGATGTTTTGGCTGTAAATATTACTGAGTCTGATTGAATACTTTCTGCTCAATTGTCGGATGATCGCTGTAAATATCTGCATCAGGCCCTTTCGGAATATCCGAAGG